CTCAAATCTAAAGATGAACTGAGGTGAAAATAAGTCCATTTTTCAATATAAAAAAGTAGTTGAATCTCAACATAATTTAATAAAGTTTTTCAGTGAAATATATATAATAATTTTATGATTGCAAATTGCAGTATATTATTCCTATGATAATACTGAAATTGTAACTTAAATTAATAAGATATTCGATATCAGAAGAGGTTTTATGGATATTATAGTAATCTTAATGGTTGAGATCATGAGCCGATTGAAGCTAGACTACCATGGAAAGTCTGGAAGCACTGGAGCGTCGTTTCGTTGTACTGTGGGGCTCCTCAGCAATGCTCAGTGACCAGCAGCGAGCAGTGAAGTTAAAACGGGTCCGTTGTGAGATAGTAACTCACTGAAGACAATGGTGGATTAGTCGCTCAATTTCATGGATTACTTGAAGTAAGACATTAACGCCGTTTGATGCCGGCCAGCTCAGTGGTGTAGATGTTAAGCGTTCTTGCACGAGACTGATGGGTCCTCGGTTCAAATCTCGCGAGGCGGGATCGTGAATGCGCACTGCTGAGAAGTCCCATAATAGAACGAAACGGCCGTCCAGTACATCCAGGTTTTCCATGGTGGTCTAGCTTCAATTGACTCATGATCTCAACTATTAAAATAGATGTTCTTTACAAATAGATGTTCTTTACAAATAGATGTTCAAAAATTAGTCTAGAATTAAACTACTAATCATTAGAGATAAAATCAGTATGAGAATAATTGTACTGAGATGTATAAATTCACCCGTCTTTTCCGTCTTTGGTTAGGTTATATAGTCATATTCGAAATAGGAGAATTGTGTTACAAGTAAATGGAGGTCAAACGCAATTATCGTTGAATAACAATGCTGGTGAGCGGCCTATGCTCCTTCGCGAGGAGTACACAGGCGTAAGTAATTAACTAAGTAACAATCTCCATGGTGAAAGGTAGGCGATTTTATGTTAATTGATAGATAACAATGTCTATATCTAAAACGCTTTATAAGAAGCAATTAGAAGTTATATCAAAAGGCTATCGCTACTATACCCTAATTTGTGCATAAATAATTTGTACCCTTGGAAACCGAACACATTTTGATTACAATTAGTGGTGAATGAATTGAAAAGCTTTATTTTAACGGAAATACAGTTATTTGTAAGACAAGTCCAGTTGTAACTGTGAATATTAAAATGTTAAACTTAACGATATATCCAAAAACTTACAAAGTATTTATAAAAGTATTCTTTTATTCATTCATCTCATCGAAAAGATATTTAATGTTCATATTAACTAATTTGTAAATACTTCTTTGAAAGTAATTAGTTGTAATTATTAGGTTGATTTTTTATCATATAGGAAACTACTTTATCTGATGGATAATAATTCACAGGCTTCACGGTTTATTATTACTCGTTATTTTTTTGGTAGTATGTTCGTTCTGTTGACAGCTACATAATAAGATTTTCTTTTCTTGTTAAAATGAAAGCATTATAAGATGACGACTCTGCCTGGAGCCCCTCTGGAGCCACTGCCGGTTTCACGCCCGAATAAAGGTAGAGGGTTAGGCATGGTGTTAGCGACCCCATCCTGTAGAAAACAAACTCGTTAAAAAGAACGCTAACCAAAAAAAACCAATTCAAATCATCATAAGATGACGTTTACAAAAGAAATTTTTTTGTAACTTATAATTACGTGATTATGAACAATTCTCAGAAGTCTTCTTAACATTCTGTTAATTTTGTTTCATTTTTATTTCTAGGTGTTAACACTGTGTAATTAAGTGTAATGACAATTATTGACTTTTGGAGATGAATTAATGAAAATTTACATTTCTATTTTTACTTCTAGTTTAGTAAATGAGAAATACTTGTAAAGATTAGTCGTAAAAATATTTGTTCTTTAATGATAGCCAATTTTTAACTGGTAACTAGTCTTTTTTTAATCAGTAAGGAATTAATTTAATTTCTGGTGATATGGATTATTCCATTGTTCATATTTTAATTGAATTTTTATCGGTTTTGGTTGGGATATATACAACTATATACAAAACAGATATGTGACCGGCAGTGGAAAGATGGATATGTATTTCATCTTATTTTGGAGTCTCCACCAGGATTAATCTGCATCTCTGAATTGATGGACATTTACCATCTGGAATGTTTAACATTTTGTCAAAATATTAATACTGAAATAATCTAAAGCACTAAAAAAAGTAAATTTCATACAAATTGCTAAAGTTAACGGTTATCTGCACTCAACAGCTAAGTTAATAAGGTGTTGGAGTTAGAAGCAAAAGGTATTAGGTTTATATTGTAAAATGAATATGAACTTTAGGATTCGGGTACATTTAGCTTACACGTCACAAATAGATCGAAACGCGTGTCCTGAACTCTAATGCTAGCTAGCATTTATCTATTCGATATGTTTTACACAATTATGCTTCAGAAATATTAAAATCCAAAACGGTACTGAACGCCTAATATGTGCATATTATTATTTAAACTCACCATAATATAATTTTATTTGAATGTAGTCTTCTTTGTTCGATGAACCATTAAGAACGAGGTAGTTGTAATCAGTTATGTAGCTTATATTTAAAGCGTCTACACGGTTAGAACCTGCTATTTTATATATAAATGAACCCACAAACTATGTATTTAGCGACTATCACAACGAATGGTAAAGTTAAGAGATATTTGAGGATAAGATAGATATTGCCAACGTTCGCTTCTCGGACTGAGGTGCTTACTGCTTTTAGGCCCCAAAGGTAAAATAAAATACCTCTCCAGTACTTACAAACTTTTACTGATTTTGCAGGGAATAGTGACAAGTGTTTTTTTAAATTAATTTTATCTTTACATATCTACTATGTAGACAGTTAAATTTATTGAATTTTTTTTGCTGTAAATTTTTCTTTTTGGGAAATATCTGTGTTTTATTGTAATCGAATTCATGAGTCAATTGAAGCTAGACCACCATGGAAAAGTTGAAAGCACTGGACGGCCATTAAGTTGCGGATGCTCACTGCTGAGTACCACACCACGACGAAATGGCTGTACAGTGCTTTCAAGGTTTCCTATGGTGGTCTAGCTTCATTTGACTCATGAATTCAACTATAAAATTACCAAGATCTCCACAAAAACCTTTTTGATAAAATATCTGTGATGAGACTATTATTTATGAACGAGCCAGTCAGAAATGTTTGAAGGTAACGGCTCCAATTTCAGTACCTGATGTTCACTTACAATCAGTTCACAGTAAATTTGAGAGAAAACGTGATGAATGAGCAACTGCAATAAATGGGACTACTAAGAAGTTCCCTTATTTGTGATTGTGGTAATCGAATGACTTGTGGACCTTGTACAGACTACCGTGATGATGATATCTTTCGATGTAATATGTGCTGGAGGAAGAAGTCTGCTACAATAAGATATTTTTCGCACTATCCAGATTGAGACTAAGTCAAATTATGACAGTTTTTGCCAGCTGGATAATAGAATCACCAGTAACACTGGCTACCACCAGGTACTACAATATATGCGAATGATTGGAGAAAGTACAAATGGCTATATAGTCTCGTTTATGTGCATTGTGGACCAAACAACTGGAGTGCACACAACCAATAGTGAAGCGATATGATCAAGGCTGAAATAGTTTTTACCACCTTTTCATGGCTCGAGAGGCCGACTACTATTGAGCCATATAGGTGATTTCCTCTACTGTACGCATTACGATTTTAGAAGCTCTGCACCTCTTTCTAAGGTTAACACGTTTTTTGAACCATGTAACAGAAGTGTATCCGCCTTAATTCTTTGATTTTGTATATTATATTCTTATCCTATACTGTCTTCTGATTGGCTAATATTTCTCAAGGACACTTAAGTTTCGTTCACAGATCATCCATAAATTATAGTCTGGTCATATCCATTTATTTAGAATTGAGAAGAGACACGAATGGAAAACAGTCAAATAAAATACTTTGCTTTTGTTTTTTTCTTCGTACATTCAATCAAAGATACATATAAATATGTACATATATATATATATATATATATATATATATATATATATAATTTAGTGGAAATTCTTAGTTTGACATTCGGTAAATAAAGAAGAAACGAATCAAGCGAAGAGACTTATTTTCAATTAGTTTTTCATTATGGCTGTACACTAATATATATAACTATGATTCACAATAATGAAATAATATTCATCGAGTGAATACGTTTCGTAATAGTTATATAATGATATATCGATTATAAATTGACAGAAAGAGGATTCATCATAATCAAAGTAATTGTTCGAAAATCCAGCAACTTTAAATGATGATTAATCCTCTTTCTTCTAATTTATAATCGATATATCATTATATAATTATTATGAAACGTATCCACTCGATGAATATTATTTCATTATTATTATAAATCATATATACAGATTGAAAGGAGATCTTTCCTGTTGATTCATTCCTTCTTTGTATATTGTTTAACTACAATGTTGAAAAATCGTTAAAAGTGTCAGAATCTTTATTCTTGCTCTTTTCAAAAGTATATTAATCCAAAATGTCAAGAGGGTTCATTATTATTATTATTATTATTATTATTATTATTATTATTATTATGATTATTTACAATATTTTCTTATTTTATAATGAAATATTAAATAGATTATTATTGTTATTACAGGTATTAAACATAATTCTAAATGATACAATTCATTTCTAATCATATAATAATTCATATTGAATGTAATATGAAAATATACCATTACTGATTTTTCAATATTACGCCATAATTTTAATATCACAATAATAATACTATCAAGAAGATATATGATTGTTGTCAAATGATCAATCATTATATAGAAAGTATTAAAGCTTCTATAAGATGATAATCTATTGAAATAATCATCTTCTATTAATATTTTAGTTGTTTGTATTGTAGAATTTCTTTGAACTTGTCGATAAATAAATTGAAGACAATAATGTAATAGAATAATCAGAATAAATAATAATGAACATAAATGTGGTATAATAAATGAAAATAATGGATCTAAATAAATAAGAAATGAATAATAAAATTTAAAATATTCTGATCTTACATTACATGTAACCGTTTCTATCAATGTGATATTATATGTTTGATTCATTAAATGAATTGAATTAATCCAATGAAATTGTCCAAATACCCATAAATAATTACATAATGCAGAGAATATAATTGCAATAAATAAACCTGTACAAATTTTTATACTTAATAAATGTAATTTATATCGATTACGTTCATTCATTATTGATTGGGTGTTTTTATTGAATCCATAGTGATTTAATAAATAAATATTATAAACACGTTCAATACCAAATAGAAATAGACACCATTCTTCAAATAATAAAAAAAATGTACCAAACATACGTTTTAAACGACAATTAATATTTAGTTTTAATTTAATATTAAAATTATAATAAAATATTAATAAATTTGATATCCATGGTAACAGATCTTCAAATAGTAAATAACCAATTTGTGCAAATGCTAAAATTTCTATTAAAAAACATAAAATATACCATGCAGTTTGTTCAAGATCTAGAATAGTTTGTTCATTAGGAAATGAAGATAAAGATCTATGACAGTAATGGATTGATGTACTAGGTAGTGTTAATTCTTGATTTGATTTCATATCACTTAAATTTGATTCATTCATATTAGAATTGGAATATTGTTCATAGTTTGTTAAGTGTTGATTTGTATTTCGAAAAAAAGATTTATTTATTTCACATGGTTGATTTAACTTGTATTGATCTAAATTTGTTTTTGAATTAATAGATAGATTTTCTGATTTTTCTGGAATTTCTGTTACAGAATCATCAGCATAACTACTATTTCGATGACTTGATAAAATATTCAACTCTATAGTAGTTGGTACTGGAGTGACTATAGATGAAGTTGAGAAACAATGACAATGACATTGAGTCTTGTAATAACAACAACCCCAATTCATTTCAAATTCACAACAGGAATGTGTCGACTTGGATTGAATGATGAACTCTTTTTCATCATTCGAAATTGTACAACATTTTGATAATATTATAGATTGAAGTATATGTTTTGTTGGAAGAGATTTATCACTTGATCTTGTTATTTCACCTAAAGATATACAATACATTATTAGACAACAAACATTAAGATACATTGGTAATTGAATGTATTCTCATTTCAATTAAATTCTTTGATACCACAATCAGTCTTACTATTCAGAATCTCTAATTATACCGCGACACGCGGTGTCATCTACCACTTTGGAAATAGATTATATATATGTAGGGATCCGAAGCATTGAATATATTATTTTCTAGGCTTTGATTTTATCTCTAAAATAGTAATCCTCTATTACATTGAATGATGTTCTAATTTCAAAAACATTATGGACAGTAATTAAGGCCTTTGTGCAAAAGTGAAATAATTCATTTTTGTTTAGGAAATGGTACCAACAATACATTACAAATTCTATTTGGTCTATTGTAAGTGCAAATGATAATAAAGCTTAGTTTGCATTTTATCTAATATTCATAAAGAAGGATTCCGGGTGAAAAAAAGTATATGCAACACTTGAACTACAGAAATTGTTCATGCTCATACATGCCTCCCCACATATTTCATTGATACGCTCAAACTTGTCTCATTTGTATTATGAGTGTATTCAGAAATCATAAATTGATCATATAAGTTTGGTATCTTTAGTTATGTAAGCCTAAAGTATTTGACAGTAGGAAATAAATTCATTACACGAGAATAATTCGAAATACTGGTCACTGAAACTAGTGTAACTTCAGCAAATAGACATTTGCCAAATATGTTTTTCCATGTGTGTAAGAAAATTTATGCACCCAATAATCATAATAAATTTAAAATATGATTTGTAATTCCAAGTCATAAATTGTAAATTATCATAACGAAGAGCGAGGAATACTTATATGACGTTAATAATCGAAATAATGAGGCCAAATAGCCATGGATTGTTATGTGAACGAAATTAGCTAGTTAAAATAACTGAATCAATCTCATTAAAATAATTGGTAGTATAAGACCAATTAGCTAAAGCTACTGGATCAATTGTAAGTTGATGTTTCAGTTGCTTTCGCAGATTTTTTTTGCAAGCAGAAGCATGAAGAATAAAAAGAGAAACTATGCAGACAATAAGTATGAAGTTAAGGGATTTTTCTTGATTGAGATCATGAACCGATTGATGATAGACCATCACAATTGAAAACCTTGTGTTAAATCAGGTAAGATGTCATATCATGATTTAGTGAATTGCCTGTTATTTGAAACGTCGCAAACGGTTCCATCTTGAAAGATTTAGAAAACAAATTTCTGAACTTGGTAAATTTTCATCAGTCAAACTCCTAACCACTCTCCATTCGGCCTTGTAAAACCGAATGGCGCCATATTGTTAGAGTCTTGATAACCTCTTGAAAAAGTATTTAGAAACCGTAAAATTTTGAAAATACCTTGAATAACAAGCTTTGTTTAGGGACTTCCAAAGGAAAAGCTCTAGAAGATAACTAAATATATTGTTATTATCCTGACTGAATAATAATAACCTCAACGTTCCATATACGTCTATAGAAACTCTTTTTTGCATCTGAACCAACGTTTGAGATAAAACCTCACTTGGTTCTGTGTTTCGCCCGGAGTGTTAATCCCTCATTAACAAAGCGCGGTGCATATAGGAACTGAATGTGAACACTGGTCATTATTACTACCCTTTTTCATGAAGTAACAGGAAAACTAGCATCTACAGACAGGTGAGAGCTTATTTTTGGTGAAGACTTGAAATACAAAAAACAAAACTGACAATTTCATTTCAATAAACTTCAAACTTACACAAAACATTACAATAACAGGAACTAGAAGAATCTTATTTACGCTTCTAGCTAAGACAGCATCGCTAACCTTGAGCTGTAATTAACTAGATCAACTGTTTTTGGCTTTTTTTAAATACTGATTAGACATGTTTATTTTAGGTGTCTTTCACCAGTGTTTTTTTATTCCAGGCAAGCAGAGTTAAGTTGAAGCTTAAAGGCTAAACATTTCAAAAATACTAAACAAGGTTCATACTGGGATATTAATTCGAAATCTTCAAAGTAGTCATAGTAACCGTTCTGAAATTTGAGTAGAGAGGTCTTTGTTGAAAGTGCAAAGGGTTTATTTCAACACGTTTCAGAGTAAAGACAACAGCTATCTATGGTGAATAATCGCTAAGCACTAACAAATATTTTATTGCACCTTGTTCTTTGAGTTAGTTGATAACTATGACCAATGGAACTCGAACAAAATTATTGAGTATCAATTCGTTCCAGATGTTAGATAAATCTTCTTGACGAGTTTCAATTAGCAACTAGTCCAGGTTCCTATGTTCCTCCTGATCACCTTTAGCCACGCAAAACGAAAAATAACTACCTCTTTAAAAGTAATAGTTGTTTATTCTTCTCATTCATGAAACCGAGAAACAAGGTTCACTTAATAAACATTATGATCAGACTAAACAACAAAGTCTAGGAGATCACGTCATCTTTCAAAAAAAGTTGTTGTTTTTTCTAATAATTTCCACATGATTTCGAAAACTTATCGATTTGTCTTATTAATAAAAGTTATAATATTATGAAAATATTTTGTGCTTATTTGTTTCATGTTTTTTGTTTTGTTTTCCTAATTTATCATAATGATAACAGAACGTTTTGTTTTTCTTCTCTAAATACGTTTTGTCTGGAAAATACAAACTACAAATAAACCAAAGTTTAAATCGAAATTGCAACAAACGTTTGTGATTTTAGACAATTTTCTCAATCACGATCATGAAGTGATCTTAGTTAGTCCATCAATAAAAGCCTGGGGGCATGGATCTGCCGCAAACGGATATCGAATAAAGTGACATTTGTCTCATGAGTGAATGATACAGCAAGATCGTGGATTAACTGAACTTAGATATTAACAGTGTTGAATACTGGCTCATTGGTTTAAGTGCTCATGCCTGAGACCGAAAAATCTGCGTTTGATCCCCGCTTGGGGCATCGTAGATGCGCAATACTGTAAAGGCCAGTACTTGCAGGTTTCCAATGATTGTCTAGCTAAGTTTATTTCGTGATTTCACCTGCGAAAATACTGCAATCTCTAAAAATAACCTGTATCAGCAGTTATTTTAGAATCACATTGGTTTTTTAAAGTTAGCTAGAGAAAACTAGTGAACTAAAGAAGGTAAGGCACAAATGAGAGCAACATTTTTGTTACAGTATAATTATCAACAACTTTTTTTGCTGTAAGTAAGGGTAGAATACGCAGACACACTGTGAATCATTAATAACAGAATAAATATGGACCTTTCTTGATTATTGTTTTCGAATTACGCATTCTTATGTATAATTAACAGATGTTTATAGAATACTTGGTTAGGCTATTTAACTTTGTTTTCTGTGAGTCCTCACCATAGTAGTGTACTTGACAATACGTGGATTGTTAGTTGTCGAATGATGAAGATAGATTTTGTTTCATCAGTTAATCCACGTGTTTTCTGAAAGAGATAAAACTTGACTAATATTACCGAATGTTTTGAAAACTTGACACAGTACCAATACTGTGCTTTAATGGATGAATATGTTTTTGGTAAAGTTTAGTCAGATTTTGTATTTACTTGTGAACATCAACTCTGGAATGCAAGTACATCCAGCTTACAAGTCATAGAGAGGAAGAAGCGCGAGTTTTGAATTCCACTACTAAATATTTATTTACTAGAATAGGGGTTGTGGAGATTATTAAGTTTTTGATTGAGATCATGAACCGATTGCTGTTAGACCATCAGAATTCAAGACCTGGAAGCACTAGACGGCCTTTTCGTCCTATTGTGGGACTCCTCAGCAGTGCGCATCCACGATCCCGCTCGCGGGATTCGAACCCAGGGCCTTCGGTCTCGCACGCGAACGCTTAACCAACTGGACCACTGAGCCGGCATCCAATGGTGATAGTTTCTAACATCAACCAATCCACGAAATTGCGCGACCAACTTCCATTGTACTGAGGTAGATACCTGTCTCTACCCGACAAGGATTAGCTCCACTGGTCAATTGGATTGTCTTACAGCTTTCTAAAACTGTTGTTGATTGAATTTCTCACTTCACCGAAAATTAAAGCGAATGAAGCTTTTAATTTGATTAGTACATTTCAATCAGAAAACAGAACATAAATATAGTCGATTAAAATTGTAAACACTGTATACTTAATACGAACAATTTTAGTAGTACATTACTATTAGTACAATTTAAGTGAATCCCTCGTTTCGGCGTTAAAAGTGTTGGATATTCTTTCAAAAAGACTTGTTTTGAAATATGTGCACCTATTCTTGTATACACCAAAGGTATATTTGTCACTTGAGACGTCTACTGAACGGATCCTGACTTTGATATTGTTTGGAAGTCGTTTTGAGTTCCATATGTTCTCCAACTGTAGGAATTCTGTCCTTGCCTTGCCATTCTTCGCTTTTACGTCTACATCGGATCTTCCTTGTTCATCGATTATGCTGTTTAGGTTCGTGAAAGATTCTAACTCTTCCAGAGTTTCTCCATCATGTGTGATTGGATTGGCGTTCTTTGCGTTGTGTCGTAGGATCTTAGTTTTTCTTTTGTGCACGTTGAGACCTACTGACAGATGCTTCCGAAAAGCAATAAAGGAATAGAAGTAGATAATCGACTGAATAACGTGACCAGTTTATAGATCTTTCTTGGACTTTGGATACACAAATACAGTGGAATTTAGATTATAAAATGAGACTTTTAATGATATTCCTATCGGCCAGCCGCGTAACCTTGAAGTTCATTAAAAACAAAATAAATACTCCCGTTTCACATTGTCAACAATACCGTTGCTTTTAGGACATAACTTAGTAAATAAAAAGAGGTTAATGAAAGATGGTTAGTAAGTAGCAGTGGAACTCAGGATGCGCGTTTCGGCCTATTTGGGACTCGTCGGCTGAATATACCTGCATCGCAGGGTTGATGTTCATTTTGGGACTCGAACCCAGTAGCGTTCGCTTCGAACGCCATGGGCTTAGCCACTTAGCCACTGAGTTCTGGTAGCCACTTGCTTGTGTAATGGGGTAAAGTTATATTCAATTGGTGTTGTCTACTCGTATCTTCGAATCGTTATGTAGGACTGCATTTGATGCAGGTACATCCAACTGACGAGTCCTAACTAGAACAAAATGCGTGTCCTGGACTCCACTGCTAACCACTATCCATCTTTGCTTATAAAGCTTGTGACTTCAGGTCATATCGAGGCAGTCCGCATAGGATGCACATATACCAACAAGAGACTGACCAGTTGCAGTCCTAAATAACAATTGGAAGATACAAGTAAAACAACACCAAGTGAATAAAAAAGAGGTTAATGTTTATTTAAAATCATTATTGATTAATAACTAACATGTTATGAAAATATGAAAATGAAGTATTAATACTTACCACATTTTCGTGATGAACGTCTGAAACTGTTTTTAATTAAACTCTTTGTTAGAGATACAATAACTATGAGAATAATATTTGAAATCATTCCAAAAACTATTAAAATTATTAGAAATTTATGACGTTTTTCGTTCCATGTTGGATTGATCGTTTTAACTGCAATCAAACTATCATTCATAATGTTTCTTTATCAAAACAATGAATATCAGCAACTATTTTCAATGAATATGAAATCTGATATTCAATAATGGATGTAAAGAGTTTCTGAAATTTCGAAAAGATTTAAATGAGCTATTAAATAAAATCGAATCTGAAATTATTTTATCTACTACTTAAAATTCTTTTAAATAATATGGTTGATTATTTCTGTGAATTTGATAAGGAACTTCAAACATTTATCATTTTTACTCTTTGAAATATTGACCTTATATTATGTCTAACATTTGTTAAAGAGTTTGTTTTTCATTTTGTCGAGAATTCATCGACTAGATATACCTGAGTCCCACTGTTGATAGGCAATCTTGATTGCCGACAATCAGAAAAGGGACTTATACAGAAGATAATGTCAGTAATCCCTTTACTGATTGGACAAGTTGTCGGATATCGTTATTTATTAGCTCAGTGTCTTTTAAAACAATCACTTATATGTCTCATCCTCAGTATGAACATCAAAGTTAAGTTCCAAGTACATTACGATGGTGAGTTCCAAAGTGACAGAAACTCGTACACCATATTGAACTCAGATTCATGATCGAAAATACAATCAATAATATCACAATTTTCAGTATACACAACTGGTATTATTATTGTTTTGCCATTATTATTTTATAAACAATGAAGTTTAGTGGACGGTGATACTCAAATGTTTTATCAATAACACGCAATGGAAATTAATTCACTCTACTATTTATCTGTTGATTAAAACTATTAGGATTTCGAAATCTTTGATTTTGAATATACATAACATACACAAAAGAATTTTTAATAAAAGAGTACCTTTGCATTAAACGTTACTTTATATCAACTCTAGATTTTTACAACATGACAGAGACAGCGAATAAATTTTATTATTTCGTAACACTTAGAGATAAACTTCATCATCACTCTCTTTACATCTACTTTTATATACATTTCAATACAGTTATTCATAAATTTTGTCAATCAACGTTTTGGGACAATTCAGGATTTTTTCATTTACAGACCAGAAATAATAGCACATCTAAATTGTTGTAGTTCATATCACGGATTAACTTTGGCTGAATAACTAGTGAAAACAACTATTTCGTTGCAATATAGGGAACGTCATCAGTGTGAGATTAGGAATCTGTCAATAATGGAGATTGAGATCATCAGTTTTCAAATTGAACAGTTCACGCGAAGACGTCATATTAGAAATTTTTCACAAATAACAACTACAAGATAATCCTAGTCATTATTTATAGACATCAACTTTTGTCATAGTTTACTTGATCGTGAAGATATTACAGTAATTTGAGAATGATTTATTTGTTCATTAATTACTTTGTTCGACCATAACATAAACTTGGATAATTACGTACAACAATTTATACTCTTTAAATAAATAACATATTTGTAATATCCCAATGAGTAGAAAAATTAGATTTTCTGACGTTTCATGACTCAGTGTAAGCCACTTCTTCAAGAATAAATAACCAAATTAATATCAATCCAAGTTTAAATAGTACTCTTTTGTTGTAAGCAACTTTTCAACTGTTTACCGGTGGAAATTTGAATGTTTTACCTTATCAGAAACTACTATCATAACAATATCAATAATAATAATAATAATCATCTATTAACAGTATTCAGCTTGACCGATTACATAAAATATATGAAACCGTTCGAAAGACTTGCATTACAGTACAAATCTATTGAGAGAGAAAAAAAACGATAAACGTCACTTCAAAAGTGTGACAATTTTTGTTCGAACCATAGATTGCACAACCTTGAAAATCTATGTTATAAGACATAAAATAAATGAAAATAAATTTGGAAAAAAACACTAACAACAAAGACAGTGACTGGATTTGTTGAATGAACAATTCTTTATGGTACAATCTCAAAATTCTTTTATTTAAATAAATTTTGTTGAAGCGAACTAACGTTTATACAATTTGAAAGTTAATATACACTTACTATAGAAAAGATGATATACTGACTAACTTAGAACAAAGAAGTTGGCTAACAACTATTAAAGTCAATTCTCTTAATTGATATATAGATAAAATAAGAATCAAAAGTGGAGTTAAACATTTTTTATTGAAAAGTATTTGAATTCTCAGTGATTTAAATATCAGAGATAGGTTTTTTAGAGATAGTAGTAATTTAATAATTGAATTCATGAGTCGATCGAAACTAGAACACTATGGGAAATCTAGAAGCACTGAACGGCCGTTTCACCTTAGTATGGGACTCCACAGCAGTGCGCATTCACGATCCCGCCTCGCGAGATTCGGATCCACGACCTATCGGTCTCGCGCAAGAATCCTTAACATCAAGACCACTGAGCTGGCCAGCATCCAACGGTGTTAATGTCTAACTTCAACTAATCCACAAAATTGGGTGACACATTCACCATTAACTTCAGTGGGTTACTATCTTACAACAGACTCGGTTTATATATAACAACTGTACGATATTGAAAAGAAGACTTCTTTATTTCAAATTAATCATCTATTTCAAATGAACATATTTTCAAGCTTTATTGATTTTCTTCGAGATATTATTCAAGCGATCTCGATTCGTGTCAAAATTGTAAAGTTTCAGAATGAAAAAAATAATTTCACTGCATCAAAATGTCATAATCTTATTATTCCTTTTAAACTTGGCAGATAATTAGTATCAATGAGAATATAATAATAATAATAGCAATAATAATGATATTAGTTTATTAGACCTTTATTGGCAAATTTTGATCATTTGTAACAAAGAAAATTTGACACATTGACAACTTAACGTAAGCTATTTCTTTTAATACGAAATAATGTTTACTAGATGTATTTAACTAGTAAAAGACAGTCAAAAAAATTCTTTCAGGTTTTTTGTATTTTGATGATTACAATTTTTATTAATCAGAGTAGGGGTTTTTGTGAATATCATAGTAATTTAGTAGGTGAATTCATGAGTCAATAGAAAGTGGACTACTATGGAAAACCTGGAAACACTAGACGGCCGTTTCGTTCTAGTATGCTGCTCTTCAGCAGTGTGCATTCACGATGCCGTTGTCGTGAGACATTAGCTCACTAAAGACAATGCTGGATTTGTCACTCAATTTCATGGATCGGTTGAAGATAACCATTAGACCACTGATCTGGCCGGCATTCAATGGTGTTAGGATTCACGTAGGAGACTAATAGGTCCTGGGTTCGAATCTCACGGAGCGGGATCATGCATGTGCACTATTAAGGAGTCCCATACTAGGACGAAACGGCCATCCACTGTTTCCAATTTTTCCATGGTGGTCTAGCTTCAATTGACTGATGAATTCAATTATTAAATTATTTATTCGATAGAGGGCTGATCTAAAGCAAGTTATAAAATGCTGAAAATTCACTTTATTGTATTTAAATATATAAAATAAAGCCTCTACTTTTTAAATTTCCCATAAACAGTTCATTTAGCAACTTAATTAATTCAAATTATATCAGTGATAACATATATATTTTCAGATATTCTAATCTAATTATCATATTTAAGAGGCATAAGTAGTTTGATTAAATTTTTATCCAGGACATCAATGTGATTTAATAATCAGTTTCAAATATTTGGAAGTTTTCAATAAACAAATACTTGTACTTGTCGTTATATCTTTAAATAATCAAAGTTAGTTTATAGTAAAATTGGTGAATATTACTTACAGATATGGCTTCATATTCTTGGAATAAAACATGTGAAGTCATCCTAACATTTCACTTCACCCGGAAATTCGTGCTGATGATGTCGTCCAGAAGAACGATGAATGGTTCACAACCAAACCATCCAGCTCAGAGAACAAAACTCCATCAAAATCACACACCTGATCTACAAATCTCCACATCTCAAAATCGTATAAATATTCACCAAAACACATTTTTAAACTGGTTAATTATTGGGTAAATATCATGAGTATGACAATGTTTTTTTCGATGTAATTTTTTTGTTTACAAATGTACCATTCAAAAACACTATTGATATTTTATATAACTAGATATCTTAGAATAATATTTCATTATCTTATAAAAATGAAAGTTTTATCACTATTATTACCCGAGCAAATTCCATTCACTTTTGATTGTGAGTTATTTTGACAGATTCGTGAGGTGATTGTAGGTAGATCTTTTGGATTGTTTTCTAACTAATGTTTATGTTACATTTTAAACATTTATCTGATGGATTAATCGACAATATGCGTCTTTACAATTCTGTACGTATATGATCCTGTAGCAATATATGACAAGCCTAGTGATGCGAGCTTCTTTATAAAGGTACTTTATATAACTCTAAGGCACATCAATCTCTCATTTGCAGAAGGGATGTATAAACAGCTTTTTACCATAGATATGTATTAGGAGAAAAAGTTTCGATAAAATGTGCCATTCATCAAAATCCTATATGGACAGGTCAGTATCTTAATTTTCATAATCATAGTTCAGTCTAATTTAAAAGAAGATTGATGATGGGCATATTTAATTTAATTATTGATATTTACGCAAACGATACTACTGAGGGTGAAGTCTGTTACATGTAACACGGAAACAAAACTCAGAGCTCATTACGTTGTAATCTTCTATGATTGGGGTTCCAGGAACTAATTCCTGTATCATATTCTCATTCAGTTTTTGGTCACTTATCTTCGTGTTAAAAAGCTTCAATTACCGACTAGTGCTCTTTATTAAGCGCTCTATTCTCTCAATAGCGAAAAGATAAAACTTTTGTTTTAACGAAAATCTAGGGTAGTATTAACGAGGACCTCATATCCTGCTGTTTTTTATTTATTTATGTGTGCAGACACACAAATGTAGGAATGAGGGAACGTGTTAAAACTTATTCTTAATTTAAAATCCAAAGTTCTATAATGTTTGCAATCAT